TATATATATATATATATATATATATATATATATATATAAATTGTTTTAAGACAACAGCAAAGTGCTAAACTAGCCATTAGCTTGGTTCATTTTATTATCAACACATTCAAAAAACTGTATATGAAAGGTAAAGTAATAGTATTCAAAAAGCGTTCAATACAAAAACAACTGGACTTTATTTGTAACGGAAGACGTTTCGCTCCTCATCCGAGGAGCTTTCTCAAAGACTGTTTGGTTCAGATGGAAAGAGAGGACAGCCTCAACATTGAAGTTTACAGAAAACCAACCCACACAGACCAGTATCTTCTGTTTGACTCCCACCATCCACTGGAACACAAACTCTCTGTCATCAGAACTTTACAACATCGGGCCGAACACATCCCCACGAAGACAGAAGGGAAGGAAAAGGAACTGAAACACCTTCAAGAAGCTCTTCAAACATGTGGATATCCTAACTGGGCTTTTGTCAAGTCAGCGAGGAAATCTACAAAACACACTAATAAACAGAAAAAGGAGAACAACAGACAGAAAAACATTGTCATCCCTTATGTTGCTGGAGTATCAGAGAAATTCAGAAGGATCTTCAACAAACACAAAATCCCAGTACATTTCAAACCCAGCAGGACTCTCAGACAGAGGCTGGTCCACCCTAAAGACAAGACACCCATACACAAACAGAGTGGTGTAGTGTATGCGGTCCAGTGCAGCGAGGACTGTCCAGACCTCTACATTGGAGAAACTAAACAGCCTCTTCACAGACGCATGGCTCAACACAGGAGAGCCAGCTCTTCAGGACAAGACTCAGCTGTTCACCTCCACCTCACAGATAAGGGACACTCTTTTGAGGACCAAAATGTGCACATTTTGGACCAAGAACACAGATGGTTTGAGAGGGGGGTGAAGGAAGCAATTTATGTAAAAAGAGAAAAGCCGTCTCTTAACAGAGGAGGAGGCCTCAGATTTCCACTTTCTAAAACATATAATGCAACTTTAAAACAGATCCCCAGCCGGTTTTCACACCTGATGGGAACAGAGGGGCCTCGAC